ATTCGCCAGCCATTGCTTGCAGCTCTCAGGACGGCCGTGCTTCGCAAGGATGTTGACACCCAAGCTACCGTTATGACATTGCTTCTGCGCAACTACTTGTCCACGTCCCATATTTCACAAGCAGATCTGCTTATCTCTCACAACCGTTTCCCACAGTCCGCATCGAACAATCAGATTGCCCGGTACTTGTACTTCCTGGGCCGTATCCGTGCTATCCAATTACAGTATACTGATGCTCACGGTCACTTGATCGGCGCTACTCGAAAGTCACCCTCCAGCCACAGTGCGCGTGGGTTCTATCAAGCCTCTCATAAGTTGCTCGTGGTGGTAGAGCTTCTCATGGGAGACATCCCCGACCGTGCGATCTTCCGTCAGCCTGCTCTGGAACGTGCCATGCACCCTTACTTCCTGCTTGTCCAAGCCGTGAGTGTGGGTGACCTGGATGGCTTTTTGAGCATTGTAAATACACACAGTACGACATTCCGTAAGGATGGTACGTACACCCTAATTCTGCGCTTGAGGCAAAACGTTATTAAGACCGGGATCCGGATGATGTCGCTGTCTTATTCTCGCATCTCCCTGCGGGACATTTGCCTCCGCCTGGGACTGGACAGTGAGGAATCAGCGGAGTACATCGTTGCTAAGGCGATCCGGGACGGTGTGATCGAGGCCACTCTGGACCATGAGCGAGGATTTATGAAGAGTAAGGAAGTTGGAGATATCTATGCGACCAGAGAACCTGGCGAGGCATTTCACGAACGCATTAGAGCTTGCTTGAATCTCCACGACGAAAGTGTCAAGGTTAGTTCTATCCTGACTCATTGCTCTATATCTGTCCTTGTACACTGGACTAGGTAGAACAGCTACTCACATTACGTACTTGATAGGCTATGAGATTTCCCATGAACCAGCACCGCCTGGAACTGAAGAGTGCACAAGAGGCCCGGGAACGCGAACGGGAACTGGCCAAGGAGATCCAGGATGGTGATATGGATGATGAGGATGCTGGCGCTGATTTCGACGCCATCTAATGGCTACGAAAACTATCACACGGCGATGTAGAATCCTGCCATGTGTTGGGACTGGAGCCAGATGGCCCTGGTCGGGTGGGTTTCAATTATTGTGTTTTATCTGCAAATCTGTTGTTTCGGGTGTGTAGGAGGGGAATGTGCAGGATTGAGCTTTGCCGGCGTGATGTTCCCTGTCTCCTATATTCTTACCAAACCATTTCTTTTGTGCAATAGGGCACGTTCATTTTGTAGATGTTGTCCGATCAGCTCGTCCCTTCCGGTCTTGGTGGGCATGTGGGCCTAGATATCATTGGTAATTTCCATCCATATTCTAGACTACGATTTTCTTTTCTTTTCTTTTGTTTTTATTTTTTGATTGACTAGTTCTCTTTTCTTTTCTTTTGCTCCGTGGGTACAGAGGGAACTTGTTCGCCATGATGATGGAGAGGCGGATGTAAAGGCCGCTGTTAGCAAATGCTTTCAGCGATCCGTTCCGGCCCGAGCCAAACTCCGTCGGCAGTGAGCAGCTCTCAACTAAAATCTTCGGCCGGCTGATATTTGCGGACTTCCTTAACTACGCGGTCTCTCACCCCAACAAGCTCCTCCTCCTTCGACTTACGTTCTTTCCAGCTTCCATTCCCCATTTGTATTATAGTTATATTATTTACTACTCGATATTTTAATTAGCATCTGCCAATTAGCGTCTCTTGAGCATGAAAGCTCGAGCGGTCCCGGCCTCTGGCCTCGTCCTTCCATCACGGGTCAAGCCCACGACATCAATATGCTGGCAATGCCTCCGCAATGACCTTATTTCGATCCAAAGCAGTTCGCAGACGCGAGCATATCATCCTACCCGACGAAAATCCGCTTCTCCGTTTGGCGCCGCCGTCACTGCCGCCCAGACTCTCTTCAAAGGACTCCCAAAAGCCCCTCCAGGGATTTCAGTAGATCCCTTGAGGATCGTGGGTAAGGAGCTCAAATTTTTGACGAAGAATATTCGCCAATTGCTGGGATCAGGCCACCCTACGCTGGATAAGGTGGCCAAATATTACACCAAGAGCGAGGGCAAGCACATGCGTCCGCTTCTGGTGTTGCTTATGTCCCAAGCAACTGCGTTGACTCCCCGGCACGGTCGATGGAGCTCTGCACCGTCCTATACTGTGAACGATCCAATCAGTTCCCCGTCCGTTCTTGCGGATACCAATCCTGATTTAAATCCGCTTGTATCCTCTTCCGCGGAAGCCAAATACGACTTCTCTGGCGACGAAAATATCCTGCCCACTCAACGACGACTCGCCGAGATTACAGAACTCATTCATACCGCATCATTATTGCACGACGATGTCATCGATAATGCTGTAACCCGCCGGTCATCCAGCTCTGCTAATCTACAATTCGGAAACAAGATGGCCGTGTTAGCGGGCGACTTCCTGTTGGGGCGTGCATCCGTTGCTCTGGCACGCCTGAGGGACCCTGAAGTCACCGAGCTGCTGGCCACCGTTATTGCTAATTTAGTGGAGGGAGAATTCATGCAACTGAAAAATACCGCTTCCGACGAAAAGAACCCCGTCTTCACGGATGAAACCATCTCTTACTACCTGCAGAAAACATACCTTAAGACTGCTAGTTTGATAAGTAAATCGTGCCGTGCGGCTGCGCTACTTGGTGATAGCACGCCCCAGGTCGTCGAGGCTGCGTATGCCTATGGACGCAACCTGGGGCTGGCATTTCAGCTAGTGGATGATATGCTGGACTACACCGTTAGTGATGCTGAGTTAGGCAAGCCGTCAGGGGCGGACTTGGAACTGGGTCTGGCGACTGCCCCGCTCCTTTTCGCTTGGAAGCAAAACCCTGAGTTGGGACCTCTGGTTGGCCGGAAGTTCAGTAGGGAAGGCGATGTGCAACGGGTATGTGTTCCGAAATCTAATGTGAGGTGTTGCAAGGAAGTGACTGACGATGATTGACCCCTAGGCCCGTGAACTTGTTTATCAAAGTAACGGTGTTGAAAAGACTCGTGTTCTGGCCCAGGAGTATGCTGACAAGGCTAAGGCCGCGATTAGCAGCTTTCCCGATAGTGAAGCCAAGGATGGCCTCCTTCAAATGTGTGAGAAGACGATGAATCGGAGGAAGTAGGGGGCGATGCACACGGCATCGTTCTTTTGCGCCTGACATCACGGTGGGTGGATGTCTAGGTATCGTTGCGCCAACTGTATCCAATTACCGGCATTCTAGTTGATGTCCTCTGTATCACTACGATTGTTTTTGTACCATTGCCTATTTCTGCCTCTTTTCTCAATACTTGACGCGTCTGTTCGATTCACTGACAGTATATTAAGTGTCAGGGGTACTTGGGAAAGGGCCTACTGTTTTTTGAAATGAATGAACTGTATATAGATCTAGATTATATAAGGTAAATTAGGTTGTGAAGACTGAAGGCTCTCTATACATTGTTCCTGCGAAGGTCATAAAGCTCAACTTAGGAAAAATGGGACACCAGTTACGTGTGTACATAGTAAATACTACAAGATTTTGGTTAATTTTCCCCATAGGTTATCTGACCAAGCGATACCACGTTTGATGCATCGGGGTTGCAGGAAGTTTCAAAAATATTACCTTGGTGGTAGTGTGGTATTGATTTCTCCGGCGCTAATGCTACTTACTACCAAGTTGTACAGTACCATTACTGCCATTCTTTGGAGTATAAACAACACAAATCATGTGTGTACTGTCGTTACCGCAGTCATGTGCTAGTCGAAAGGAACAAAGATGCAAACAACTTCTTGGAAGTACATAAGGCAAAAGAACAGTTGTATGCAAGTGGAGCGGCACAAACGACCTCGGCGGGGGCAACTTTGTTCCAGGGATCCACCCGCACTCCGTCATAGGATCGGCCACCTTGTAACTGTAATGTGGTGAGGTAAGGGGATGGTATTGGTTGATTTCCATACGAGAGGTACTGTCCTCTCACGCTCTTTTCCTATCTTTTCTTCATATCGTGTCCTTTCTCCTACAGCATCTCCCTCTTGTCTCTCTCTCTCTCCTTCTCCCTCTCCCTTCACCCTATCGCTTTCTACCAGTGCTACTGGTCAAGGCTTGGTCTGGTTCGGTGCCTCCACAGCTTCTCCGTTTCCGTCATATCCTCATGATGGACCTTTCGATGTTGCTATTTTGATTGACCGGCTCCTAATGGGTTCCCTCGGCAGCTTCCTCTTTGTATACTTCCTCGGCGGACTGACTTTTATCCCACTGGTCCTGTCGTTAATTCTTCTGCATGCTTATTTGACCCTTCCGTCACCTCCGCCAGTCGAGCAAAGATGCGAACGGGCCAAAGATCCTCTGCGGCGTCCTGGTGACGACCAATATAGCCTAAAATCCGGCACAGATGAGCTAGCAGAGAAGTTCCATCGTACGCACGAGTCGGATGTTGCGGCGGGCTACTTTGCCGTATGTCGCGAATATGTGCCTGGTGGAGTCAATGGGAAACCACCCGAGAGAACCACGCCGGCGGGCGAGGTGATCGCCGCGGAGAGCCCAAGCGTCTACCAGACAATGTATAGAAGTCTGTTTGACCGGAAGCAGACGCCAACGATTGAGCCAACTAAAAATAATGGAAAAAGCGGCAAGAGGGCGCGCAATGTATTTTACATTGTTCTTCGGTAATTATTCCTTTCCATGCGTATAGGTTCTTTACGGATACTGATCATCATTGCACGGGCTATAGGCATGGTCATTTGATGCTTTATGATGATGCCAACCAGGTCGAGGTGCGATATGTTATTTCCCTTGCGCACCATGATGTAAACATCTGTGGTGGTGAAGGGGAGATCCAGGAAGGCGAGCTGTGGCTTAAGAGAAATGCTATCTGTCTTTCGCGACGACTGGAATCTCTTGCAGATTTAGGGGGACCAACGCCTCCATTCTTTCTTTTCTCGGAAAATCTGTCCGAAAAGGAAGACTTCTATTTCGCTATGCTCCAAAACCAATCCAGGATGTGGAACTCCCCGGACGCCCCTCCCAAGCATCAGCCTTTCGATGTTAAGCATATCGTCACCCTTGTTCAACGATTGCATTCATCTGAAGAGCAACTACAGACGCGGTGGATCAATGCGGTCCTTGGGCGGGTGTTTCTTGCCATGTATAGAACGCCGGAGATGGAGGAGTTTGTCCGAAAAAAAATCACCAAGAAAATCTCTCGGGTTAATAAGCCGAACTTCATCAGTAAAATTGGCCTACAAAGGATTGATATGGGCGAAGGGGCGCCATTTATCATCAATCCAAGGCTCAAAGATCTAACTGTTGACGGGAATTGCTGTGTAGAGACAGACGTTCAGTATACTGGCAACTTCCGAGTGGAGATCTCGGCCACAGTGCGCATTGACCTTGGGCCTCGTTTCAAGGCCAGGGAAGTAGACATTGTTCTTGCCGTGGTGCTGAAGAAACTTCATGGTCACCTGTTGATACGGTTCAAGCCTCCTCCGAGCAATCGAGCCTGGATCTCCTTCGAAACGATGCCAAGCATGGACATGGAGATTCAGCCCATCGTCAGTTCAAAACAAATCACATACGGTATTATTCTACGCACCATTGAAAGTCGGATAAGAGAGGTTGTCGCAGAAAGCATTGTTCAGCCATTTTGGGATGATATCCCCTTCTTAGACACCGCCACGCAGCGTTTTCGTGGAGGAATCTGGCAACGAGATATCCCGACACCGGACACGAAGGTCGACATACCAGACGAGAGCGGCGCTCAGCCTCAGACAACAGGAGCAGAGAAGGGAGATTTCGTTGATATGCTTAAAACGAAAGATGAACGTACAATGAGCGCGCCTGTGATTTCTGAGTCTATACCTATCACGACAAAATCCCGCAAGGGCTCCAAAGGAGACCTTGAAAGGAATAACTCAAGTGCCTCATATACCGCTATTGAGAAATTCGGCAGCTCACCACCACGTGCCATCCGATCCCAGACGTTCTCCAACGCTGCTGATCCTGTGCTTACAGCAGATAATGCAAAGATCGACAAAGTCGTGTATGACAGCAAAGACACAGAAAAGAGCAGTGCTGCTAGTGCCATGATTGAAATATCAAACCGCTCTCCTCCCGGGTCACCGAACAGATCACCGAGTGGCTCGCCGTCTACCGACAGTAATATGCCACAAGACAATGTGTCTCAAAGCCGGGATCCATCTATAGTGGAATCTATTGAGAGTGTGGGGGAATTTAGCACCGAGTCTTCTGTTCACCCTTCTGCTGTTCATAAAACGAGTAGTTCATCTCTTCGAAGTATGGCTGCCAGTGCCACCGCCTCACCGGGTGGCAACAAACCCAGACGAAGTACACTCGAGACTCTGGCACGCACAGTGACTTCTTCCACTGCCGCAGAAAAGTCTCAAGTTTCTCTGTCATTGGGCACAGCGACTTCTGTTGCGAAGAGATGGGGTTGGAATATGTTTGGAAAGGGGGAACAGAACGCTACCCACGAATCGTCCCGGCCTGCAGGTACACCAGAGGAGCCGATAGGCCGAGGGCATCCTCTTCCGCCCCCAGGCACCCCATTGCCACGCCCTGAGTCATTTACTTTCAAGAGGAACTCTGTTCCTGTAACCAAACGAAAACCTGTCCCGCATAATGCATCTCCTGAGCAGCAGCCCAAAGGGGATGGCAAGAGGCGTGTCTCAAAGCCACCTTTACCTAGAAGAAAGCCTATCTTCAACTCAGGAGATTCGGAGAATCATCCTGACGAGTTGCTGGTTGTCGAGGCCCCCTACGACTCAGGCCCTAATAGCCCGGTCGTCGATGTTGCCCCCGACAATGCTTTGCCCGGGCCCAGTACACAGCGGAACTCACCCACGTCCAGTATGGCGACGAGAAGGTCTAATGATATTTGGGGGAAAGCAAATGAACACGACCAATTCTCCCTGGTCGAGGACGCCGAGGCTGACAAACACGGCATGGCAATCTTATCAGCAACCGACGGCATTATTCCGTGACGGGCGATGTTGATTACAACCGGATGCTGTCGCGCCTACTGAGCAGAGCTCGGTGTCGCTGCGGACGGTTTCAGCGTATGGTGATCGATTTCCTCGCTCAACTTGCCAATGTGGGTCCTATGCTCTTTTTCCTTCGCTTCCTCTTTTTGTTTGTATTACGACATGGCCGTTTGTCCTATGTATACCCTCCGGCCAGTTATATGATCTGATCGGCGTCATCAGATGGTGTTCAAGGAGCGATGTTCAACTTTTAATTCATCATAATGCGGTGTCAACTTAGACTGTTAGGCCTCGGTATGGACGTACGGGTGAATATATGACTGTGTCTTCCACCTCTATTTTGTTTCCCCCTCCCTTGGTTTTTTTTTCCCCCTTTTTTTTAAAAAAAAAAAAAAGAGGGGGGTTGTTGCCTACAGTAGTATTTTAGGCATCAGAGTAAATCCTGTAGTGGCCAAAAGGGAGAACGTAAGAGGAGACTACAAGTATATATATATATATATATATGTGCCCAATCAGAGGGGGAGGGAACTCAGGAGGTGACGAAGCGGCGCCAAGACACGCGATGAACTGCAGGCGTCAGCTTTCCTGCCAAACGTCATTTATGCTCCTCGACAGATGCCTTTTAACTCCTCCTCGACACTCCGTGTTCTTATCATTCACCCCCCTTTTCCTTTGTAATTCTATTGACTTTTCAATCGCGCTTCATTGTCGGCCAGCGCAGGTTTTGCCCCCCAGAGCATAATCGCATTGCGCTGTTCGGACTCGGGCCCACCGGTCCCGCCGCACATAGTTGTTGTCTGCTCCCCTGATCCCCTGACAATCAACAGGTCTGAAGCCCGTCACAATGAGTCGGTAGGTGTTTTAGGACGCTTAGCAACGGGACGTGCAGCTATAAGATAACTAACTATTCGGAATCTCTAGCACGGAGGCAGATTTGGCGATTAACATTCGCAAAGCTACCAGCATCGGTAAGTCATGCCCAAAGTGTCTCTCTCACCCTGGTACCTGGTTCCTGTGACTGACCCTAGCGCTATAATAGAGGAAACCGCTCCGAAACGTATGCATTACCCTCCCTTATCGTCCTGCTTTTATTCAGTTCTATCCGTACCCTGTTGCCGTCGTATTACCTCAACTGATCCGTTACACCAGGGAAACATGTCCGGAGCTGCATTGTGTATACATGGGACCACAAGTCCTCTGCCGCCTTCTGGGCTGGCATGAAAGTGTATGTTGCGCAGGCACTACTTTATGCTTGATATTACAACTGACCGCTCTCGATGCATCCAGTCAACCGGTCCTTGCCGATGAGGTACAGACGTTCAAAGCCCTGATCACGATACATAAGGTTCTGCAAGAGGGACATCCCATCGTAGTTCGGGAGGCGCAGCAGCACGCCAATTGGATAGACAGTCTGATGCGCGGTGTAGGAGGTGATGGCATTCGCGGTACGCAAAAAGCTTGCAGGCTGTACGGCGCACTCGAATTCGTTGATGTTGATAGGTGGCATAGGCTATGGTCCTCTTATCCGCGAATATGTTTTCTTCCTCGAGTCCAAGTTGGCATTTCACCGAAATCATCCCGAATTTAACGGTAATTGGCGGAGCGAAGTTTGAATCACCCGGTTCATGACTAAGTACTTGGCAGGTCTGTTTGAATATGAAGAGTATATCAGTCTGAAGACGATCAATGATCCGAATGAAGGGTAAGCACGCCTAATGGCTGTCACTTCTTCTCTTGCTGACAATAATGTAGTTATGAGACTATCTCGGACCTCATGACTTTGCAAGACCAGATAGATGCGTTCCAGAAATTGATCTTCTCGCATTTCCAGTCAGGGACAAATAACGAGTGTCGGATTTCTGCACTAGTGCCGTTGGTGCAGGAGAGCTACGGCATTTATAAATTTATCACCAGCATGCTGAGAGCCATGCATACGAGTACGCGTTACCTTCCCTCTTGCTGTCTGGGTAAGCTGACCTTGTCATAGCCACGGGTGACGCTGAGGCCCTGGAACCCCTCCGTGGTCGTTATGACGCTCAACACTATCGACTTGTTCGGTTCTATTACGAGTGCTCGAACTTGCGCTATCTGACTAGCCTTATCACTATTCCTAAGCTGCCTCAAAATCCGCCCAACCTGCTTGCCGACGATGATGAACGCCCCGCTTTACCAAGACGACCGACGAAAGAAGTCGAGCAGGAGCCCACTCCGCCGCCAAAGGCGGCACCCGCTGATCCAGAGCCCATTAACGACTTTTGGACTACAGAAGCCAAGCGCCAGCAAGAGGAATTTGAAGCGGAACAGCGTCGCCTGCAGCAGCAATGGGAGGAGCAGCAGCGGCAGCAGATTCTCGCACAACAGCAAGCCCAACACGATTTTGAGGAACAGCAACGTCTTCAGGCGGAGCAACAGCGGCTTGCACAGGAGCAACTTCTACGTGACCAGTACCAGACACAGACTCAGGGTCGGCTGGCCGAGCTCGAGCAAGAGAACTTGAACGCGCGAGCCCAGTATGAGCGCGACCAACTTATGCTGCAGCAATACGATCGTCGTGTGAAAGACCTAGAAGAGCAGATGAACCAACTGACCTCGAACTTGAATATGCAAAGTGCCTCGAAAGATGAGCAGATTCGATCTCTCCAGGAGCAAGTCAACACGTGGCGGTCCAAGTATGAGGCGCTGGCTAAGCTCTACTCCCAGCTCCGACAGGAGCACTTAGACCTCTTGCAGACAACTAAGAGCCTAAAGTTAAAGGCGGCGTCGGCACAGGAGGCGATTGAACGGCGTGAGAAGCTTGAAAGAGAACTCAAAACGAAGAACTTGGAGCTAGCAGACATGATCCGGGAGAGGGACCGTGCCCTACACGACCGGGATCGCTTGACTGGAAATAACAAGGAAGAGCTGGAGAAGGTCAAGAGAGAGCTGCGCCTTGCAATCGAGCGGGCGGAAAATGCCGAACGTCAGAAAGGTACCGAGATCTCTACCCTGCTGTCTAAATACAACCGGGAGATGGCCGACTTGGAAGAAGCCCTCAGAGTAAGTCTTCTCGCAGGATAAGAAACAGAATACCAGGCATTGACTGCAGCCAGAACAAGAACCGTGCTCTCGAAGACGTCTCTTCTCGGAATGCAGACCGCCAGGGTGACCATGATGCCGTGCTCCGTGAGAAGGATGAAGAGATCGAGGTCTACAAGTCTGGAATGGAACAGGCTCTTATGGAACTGGAGGAACTGAAAATGGTGTGTACTTGAATCGGCTAATAGCGGGGCCAGGAGCATGCGAGCTAACTGCTACCAGAATCAAGGTGATGTCGACAATGCGCTGGATTCGCAGATTGACACCGTCTTGCACAGCACCGTTGCCAAGATCAACGACATCATCGACTCTGTGCTCCAAACTGGTGTGCAGCGGGTGGATGATGCCCTGTATGAGCTCGACTCCAGTATGCAGGCTGGTAACCAGAATGCGTCCCCACCATATGTGCTATCTCAGATAGAGAAGGCCTCTGCATCCGCCACCGAGTTCTCTACAGCGTTCAACAACTTTATCGCCGACGGCCCGAATAGTACCCATGCTGAGATTATTCGGACGGTTTCTATCTTCTCCGGCTCGGTTGCCGATGTCCTTAGTAACACAAAAGGATTGACACGGTTCGCCAACGACGACAAGAGCGCAGACCAGTTGACCACTGCTGCCCGCAAGTCCGCACAGGCCACAGTGCGGTTCTTCCGTGGACTCCAGTCTTTCCGGCTTGAGGGTTTGGAGGCTGATCACAAGACCGATGTGGTTATTAACAACAATCTAGAGGTACAGAGGGACCTGCAGTCACTATCGAAACTGGTCGAGACCTTTGCGCCCAAGAGTACTAAGATCAGTACTAACGGCGACCTGGGCGACCTCGTGGATCAGGAACTGACCAAGGCAGCCGACGCTATCGATGCTGCCGCCGCCCGATTGGCCAAGCTCAAGAAAAAGCCCCGTGATGGCTTCTCGACATACGAGTTACGTATCAACGATGTGATTGTGGAGGCAGCCATCGCAGTGACTAATGCAATTGCGGAACTGATCAAGGCCGCCACCGAGTCCCAGCAGGAGATTGTTCGCGAAGGCCGGGGTAGCTCATCGAGAACGGCGTTCTACAAGAAGAATAATCGTTGGACAGAGGGGCTAATCTCCGCCGCTAAGGCTGTTGCTACCTCCACCAACACTCTTATCGAGACGGCCGACGGGGTCATTTCTGGTCGTAACTCTCCGGAACAGCTGATCGTGGCCAGTAACGACGTAGCCGCCAGTACGGCACAATTGGTGGCGGCCAGTCGCGTAAAAGCGTCGTTCATGAGTAAAACCCAAGATCGCCTAGAGGCAGCTAGTAAAGCAGTGGGCGCGGCATGTCGGGCTCTGGTCCGTCAGGTACAGGAAATCATTGCCGAGCGGAACCAGGATGACTCGGAGAAGGTTGACTACGCCAAACTTAGCTCGCACGAATTCAAGGTGCGCGAAATGGAGCAACAGGTACGTCTTGCTTGGCCCCCCTTCTCTCTACTCCCCCGAGACAGATTCTCTACCCTCCACGGATCGGTGTGGATGCTGACAGGGGTTGATTACAGGTTGAGATTCTCCAACTGGAGAATAGCCTCGCTCAGGCGCGGCAACGTTTGGGAGAGATGCGCAAGATCTCGTACCAGGAGGACTAAACTACAGCGTATCCGAGGGGTTTGCCCCGCGTTGGACAAAGATGTCAAGCGGAGGCTACACAGATTCAAGTGTCGCAGACGAAGCTTATCCTTTGTTGAGAGGCACAGGGTTGCACTGTTCCGTACTCCCTTGTCTCCCTTTGTCTAAATCTTTTTATATTCTTTACCCATCTCCTTCGTTGTAGGCATTTTTCTTATGTCTGTTTGGATATATACCAGTAGAAGCAATCCACTTAAGTTTCCTTTCCCCGCCAGACACCTTCCCTTGAAGGATAAAGCGTACCGGACTAAAATTCATTCATCGCCCACACGACCCGCACAGACGCCTCTCCTCTCCGTCTTCCCCATGGACCCCAACAAGAAAGAATGACAACGCCGCCACGGGATGACATCCAAGGAACACCAGTTCATGGCTGACTGACATGGTTTCATTCGAGGACCATACGACGTTCACTATCAGTGTCCTCTTAGCAAATTGATCCGGGTTCAAAACAACCGATTCGATTTCTTTGTTTCCGTTGTCTCCCCATGGAACAAAAGTCCAAGAGGATGAGCAAACAACAAATGACATCCACCCGACGGTTCGGCTGCAGGCTCCGCCCACGGCCTAGTGGAAAACCTTAAGTTGATTCTTTATTTCTTTGTGTTGCACCATCTGTCCGTGCCTTCCGATTCGATCCCCGAACCGACCAGATCTTGGTGTCTGCAGTCTAGACTAGATGACCTGCAATGGGGAATTTTTTTG